TTTAGACTTTTACATCTATGTATTTGTTTACTGACATTTATTTAATGTGTATACATGCACAAGTGCACACATGTGCGCGTTCACACACACACACAGGTACCATAGCACTCATGTGGGAGTCAGGGGACAACTTGCAAGAGTCTGTTCTCTCCTTCCATCATGTTCTTGTTACTGAGTCAGTTCATCTTGGTAAATGCTTTCATCCATTGAGCCATCTCTCCAGATATTAAAATTCTTGGGTTATTCTCTGAGATTTCTTTAAACAGAGAACCAAATTGCCCATGAATAAAGACGATCTTTCTTTTCCTTTCTTGTCTGATTGCGAGCACTCTCAGACAATGTTGAATCAGACTGGTGAGCGTAGACACCATTGCTGCCTGTCTGGTCTTCTAGATTAGTTTTTGCTTGATTTCTTTTTGATTTATGCTCCAGATCACAGATTCAAACTCCATCCATATCGTCTGTATCTATCTTGTTTTTTCAGTCCTTTTCATGGTGATTACAGAGAAAGGTGAGCAGCCGAGAAGGGTAAGAGGAGAGGTATGAGGGAAAACATTCTGCAAGCAGGAAAGTACCACAGAGTGAGTACAGAAAGGGAGATTGTTTCCCCTGTCAACAAACTATGCAGGAAGCACAGCACTATGTAAGAAATATTTGTTCAGAAGACAGAAAAGAGGCATTTCACTGATAGAGGACAATTGGCATTGTTTGCGGCTAACTCAAAGGGTTGCCAGTCTACCCGTCCCTATTAAAATGCATACTCTGGAAGCAAAGGGAAATATGATCATCTATGTGAAGTAAGGTCAGTCGGATAGCTGATCTTAAAATGCAAATCCTGGAGCCCAATCCCATTTTTGAGGCAGACTGTTGGGATCCCAGAATCCTTCACCATACAAAGAATGAGCTCCATTAAGAATGAGCTTGAGGTTTAACATTTCATTGAATTGTTAAAAGCTACAAAAAAACTAAATACTGAGGAGTAGATTATGACCCTTGTGTGGTTAATGCAAGATAAACAGGAAGCTATGTTGGTACAAGAACAGATCACAAACATGTTTCCATGATCACTAATGGGGGGTTTTTAAAATACAAATTTGCATGTGATTTCCCTCCAAGACGAATTTTGATTCAAATAAAGGAATTTTATTTATGCATATAATCATGAAATGTGTGTTGGGCTTCTCCAAGGCTTCAGAGTGACACATAGGTGATGCATACATAGGCATGTCTTGTATTCCGAGCAGCCTCATGAGAAGGTCAGCTTCCCTCCTAAAGTTCTGCTCAGAACCCTCAAACTGTTTATCATCAGAAAATCTTCTCTAGCAGATTTACCACAGTAGGGGGGTGGGGTGGGAGGATTTCCACAGCAGAAATGATTTGGGTTTTATAAAATTGAAACGGCAACAGGGTGCCTCAGTCATGTGTAATGTCGTCCCTTTATAGGAAGTCACACATGCCCAGAGGTCTTCACTCACACAGCCAGATGGTAAAAAACCACACGTTGCTATCAAGCCCCATGGCTCATGTTGGAAAAATAAACTACTTGGGAGCTAAGCAGGGTCAGGTACAGTGTCTTAGTTAGGGTTTCTATTGTTGTGATGAAACACCATGGCCAAAAAGCAAGTTGGGGAGGAAAGGGTTTATTCCATTTATACTTCTCCATCATTTTTAATCATAGGGAAGTCAGGACAGGAACTCAAACAGGGCAGGAACCTGATGCAGAGACCATGGAGGGGTGCTGCTTACCTGCTTGCTCCCCATGGCTTGCTCAGCCTGCTCTCTTATAGAACCCAGGACCACCCTCCTGGAGGTGGCACCACCCTTAATGGGCTGGGCCTTCCCCATCAACCGCTAAACAAGAAAATGCCCTGCAGGCTTGCCTACAGCCTAATCTCATGGAGGCATTTTCTTAATTGAGGTTCCCTCCTTTCAGATGACTTTAGCTTGTGTCAAGTTGACATAAAATTAACCAGTACATATGGTTAATCCCTTGATGGGAGATGACTTGGAACTATCAGAAGTGTTCAGCTCTCTAAAAAATATATTTGTTTGTCTGTGCTTTGCTGGATCTAAGGGGCTCCCACTGGCCACCATCTTCCAATCCACTACCAAACCTTCAGGTTTTTTATACCAATCTTTGGCCCCCAAAGAAAAGACAGACAATCCAATAAGTCTCAGCACCACCTTGGAAATTGCAAAGCCCCAGGAGGGAAAGAACCATGACTCCCACAGGCCTTTCACCAGCTCATCTGCATCTGAAAACAGGCCATCATTTGTGTTAATCCAAAACATAAAAGAAACAAAACAAGAACAAAATGTTTCTTTGGTGTTTCTTCCTTGTCTTCATCTTGCTGGGGGTAGGGATTCACCGGACAGCATTTGTTAATTGTATATACATATACGTTGTTGGCCTTTAATTTTAAACCTACGTATCTGCTCTTTATGCATAAATTTGCCCAACCATCTTCTGGGCCCTGAGCCTAGACTGGAGCAGCCACACCGACCTGGTGCTGCTGCTGCTTAGCCCATAGCCAGCAGTGTCAGAACAACTAACTGCTCTTGCCCAGGCAGCAGTATTCACACAATTGTTTCAATAGTTGTGGTGCCCTTTCCCCTTATTTTACACAAGTAGACATAACCAACTGTCACAGGAAAGCATAATTAAAATATATTTGTGACCAGCTGGAAATAGATTGCTGAAACAAGCCAAATGGACCAGATAGAATTGAGAACTTCGTTCTTCCGTGTAATTCTGCTGAAAGAGAGCTCTTGGACCCTGTCCCAGATGAGAGGTCAATTATTTAACTTTCTCAGCCACATTTGAGCACACATTCTTCAGAAGGCTTTGTCTGCGGTACAAGCAATGAACTCATATGTATCCATCAACAAGGAGATAGACCCAGAGAATTGGAATGGTTTGCCCATGTTCACAAAGCCAGTGGGCAGGCTGTTGTGAGCTCTGGTCACTCAACCCCTGGCCACTGTTGCTGGAATAACGGGGAGAAAGAAGTGACTTTGAGAGTTTTGTAGGCAGGTGGTGTCCCTTGCAGAGGAGAAAACTGGGACCTGAACTTGAACTGTCCTGGCAGGGTCACCTGTCCACTGTTTCCTGTGTGGGCAGCCACAGTGTCAGAGATGCTGTTCTGCCACCTTCCATGCCTCTTAAAGCCTCCTTAGGTCTCTTGCTTCAGATGCAAGGACTATTGCAGCCAGGCCACTGATGCTATCACAAACATCAAAACTGGAGGTGTTGAATGCTTTTCAACCATGACACACCACAGGTGTAAATAAGGGGTGTGTTCTCTGATTTTAACTGTTGCCTTCACCACATCCCGTTGGGCTGAAGCTGGGTTTCAGGCTTTGCTCCCCAGGGGCAAGCAGCGACCTCCTGGCTCTTGTGTGTCTGCATGGGGGTCAAGTAAGTTTCTAAGCAAAAAAGTCTCCTGTCCTCTTTTGGGTAACCCACAAAGGATACACACACACACACACACACACACACACACACACACACACACACACACCTGTATAGACTCACACCCTCCTCTCATCTTTTCTTGGAAGGGAGGCCATTCCCTGGATGAAGTCAACTCCTGAAACACGAGGATTACATGTGCTCTCTCTGCCTGGGTGGACTTACACACTTCCTGTCTCCAACCACCCTGAAACTGCAGGGTTAGCCCGAACCCAGTCACAAAGAAAGTTGTCACACAGCCTTCTGACTAGTATGTAGTTAGTCTTCATTGAGATCCTGTGTATTCCCTGAAGCTCTGGAAAGTCAGCTGTCCATGGAATGTAAGTAGTGGGTCATGCGCTGGACTTCCTGTCAAGGTCTTTTAAATATTCAATTTTGCTGGTTAAGTGGACACGTTGTCCTAGAAAGTTCAGATTTGGTGGCTGACTAGATGGAGGAAAGCAACAATGTGGTCATCGGAACAGGGGCAAGTGCAGAGAAAGTTCTAGAACCTGGTGCCCATTGACTTGTCATTGAGCCTGAGAGATGGCAAGGCTTGAGATCCAGCCACTTGCTTTCTATTCAAAAACTATTCTTTCTCAGGCCCTAAGTGCCACTTTTGCTAGGCAAATTATTAAGGTGTTAACTCTTTTTCTTCTGCAAGAGCAGACACTTATAGACACTATAGAAGTGCTCAGAGAATATAGGAAATTATATGAGAGAAAACAAAAGTCATACAAAGCCTTACCACCTGAAGTAAACACTATTAACATTCTAGAAATATCTTCTGTGAAGCATTGCTTTGCATTAACAGCCACACATACACAGTCTTAAAATTTTCTGGATTTTTTTCCCTTCACATCTTCATTTTCTTACTATTTTTTTTTCAAATCTGCATCCTTACCCCATCAATAATCAAAATAAGAAAGAAAACATTATGTATACATTTTGCTGCCTGGATTTGGGTCTTTTCTACATCTGCTAAGATTCTTCACTAAAGAACAAACTTGACCATGATCTCACCTCTACACAAAAATTTCAATGTTACTGGGCAACTATGGTTAGCCCTCAGTGCCTGCTGTCCTAGCTGTCAGTTTGTCCTCTGCATATGGCATCTCTCACAAAAACTCCAGCTTAAGAGCAACCTATTAAACCAAATAAAATCTCACCATTTGGCAGAGGAGCCCATGGGCCCAGGGAAGAAGGGAGACTTTCCAATGACATAGTGACCCTTGGCAAAATAAGACTAAAACCCAGACCACCAGACATGGGGTCAGGCTCCCGTAGGATCAAGATGACTCCCCTGCCCGGGCTCCCATCCCTGAGAAACTGGGACCCATGCCAGGTGATGTCTGTGTCCTAAACAGTAATTTTCCCTCTCTGGGTCACTGAGAAAAAGATGAACACCAGCTTAGCTCTTTCAGCCTCTTCTCCCATGCTCTGTTGTGGAGAGCTGTGTTGTCACACATTTCTAACCAAAAGGAGGTTGGGTGCAGGGACCCAGGGGCTTGGGGTCTCTCGTCACTATCTGGCTTGTGCTCTCCTACAGGATGGGGCTCCTGAGCAGTAAGAAGCAGGTCAGTGGTGAGAAGGGAAAAGGATGGAGCCCTGTGAAAGGCCACACCCAGAGCAAGGCTCCCCCGTCCCTGCCACCCCTGGTAAGTGATCAACTTCTTCCAGGAGAGAGTCTAAGGCATGAGGTGCTCCCTGAACCAGCCCCTTTGGTGTCTAGACGACTGTTTAATTTCATTTCCTGCTTGGTCAGAAGTCTACTAGTTTGGGGGGCACCTGGAACCATGCCTGGTATGATGTTCTGCCCTGTCTATCACTGTGGACATTACTAAGATTCTAGCAGAGACCTGATGGGAGCAGAGACTGCTGGTCCCCTTTTATAGATGAACCCTGGCTTCTCTTCTAGATGTGTCCAAGTGTTACTGTATCCAAGTGCACAGAGTGAGACATTGAATGAATGAACGGACAAATGAATGAATGAATATGGACAACTTCAAACTTAGACAGGTCAAGTTATTTCCCTGAAGTGACATACTAACCAGTAAAAGCCCAGAACCTAACTTTTTTTTTCTTGGTTTTTCAAGACAGGGTTTCTCTGTATTGCTTTGGAGGCTGTCCTGGAACTCGCTCTGTAGACCAGCTGGCCTCGAATTCACAGAGATCCTTCTGCCTCCGCCTCCCAAGTGCTGGGATTAAAGGTGTGCACCACCAACGCCCAGCTTAGAACCTAACTTTTAAAGGCTGTGTAATGCACACTAACTTCAGAAAGATGACAGTTCCTTACAATTGCACTTGCCAAAGATACTTAGAATCATCTCTCCTGAGCTCCTTCCCCAAGGCCCTTCCTTCAACCACTTAGTTCATGGCTCTAGGTTACAGTCGTCATAGCCAAGTCACAGCAGCAGGGCTCTGAGGCAGCTGGTCTTATTGTACCTACCTTAGCTACATCTCTGTTGCCGTAATCAAAACACTGTGACTGGGGCAGCTCCAAGAAGAGTTTATTCAGGCTTCCATTTCAGGAAGATAAAGTCCGTGGTCCAGCATGGTGTCTGTGAGATTTAACCACGCCAGTACCTGGTAGATATAGCTCATTATTTCATTGTTCTGCCACGGGCTGTAAGGGCTATTCCCGTAATGAAAAAGGCTCTATGTGTGACTTGTGCTGTGTCCTGGCACAAATGTGCAGGGGTCTACGCTTGGATAGACACCAGTGAGTATTGATTGAGTGTTAGGGAAACACAGTTTTAAGATATTTTTTATGTATCAGTAAATACCTGTCTGCAACTTCTTCATTAATGGTAGAGCCAGAATTTTGACCAAGGTGACAGGGCTTTTTGGCCTTTGAAGCTGCAGCATCTCCATGTGTGGTCAAAGCAAGGATGACAGATGGCCTGGGGTGACAATGGTGCTCCAAGGAGTTGATAGTGTATACAGAATTTATCTAAGTATCCCTGTATGATAGCCACCCTCCTTCTTCAGAGTGGGTCCCTACAGGTAATCTAGCCAACTGGTTCTCCTAAGCCCTCTAGTCTGTCTTCCCTACAGACTGCTCACTAACTCAGTGTACTTCTGCCCAAGGTTGTCTTCAACCACCTCGCCCCTCCGTCTCCTAACCAGCACCCAGATCAAGGTAAGAATCTTGTGTTAGAACCAGAGCAGCTGGGATGAGCCCTGTAGGGCTGGACAGGAGTAGGGGAAGCTGGGAGCTTAAAAAGCACTCTGCATGCTATAAAGGAGGCAAAGGAAGGAGTTACAGGAGCAGATCTGGCACTGTCAAGGCCTGGCTTGGAGACTGTAGCTCCAGACTCCAAAGGGCAGCAGGACTGATGCTGTGGCCTTCCCTCTCGGCAAGAGGTCTGGTCCATGTGGAGGACAACTTCTTGCCTCCCTCTTTCCACCTATGTCCAGTCTCCACTGGAAAGTCCTTCATCCCAGACTCCATCCTGCTCTATGGTGGTCACATAATCAATGAGCTTCCTCTTGGGTCAGGACTCATGAGGGCTCCCTGGATTGGGCCTCATTCAGAACTGGCCTCCATAGCATCTCCCATCCCCCATCCACACCAGCCATCCCTTCACTCACTCACAGGAAATGTGGAGCCTGCAGCACTCTTCCCCTGGAATACAGAACAGGGGAAGGTGTCACGGTGGGGAACATCCCTCTCTTGTCTTGGGAGAGATAAGCTTATTACCATTATGGGCAAACTGCTGGAAATGGTCAGTGCTGTCATCTGGCGTCCCTTACCTGGCTAAGGACACCATCTTTCCCAGCAGATAGGTGATCTTTCACTTTCTAGCAGGGGGTGTCTCATCTTTAGAATGGAGGGTCAGGGTAAGGAAATAGCTGACAGCCTTTGGCACAAGTTTGACCCCTGTCATTCATGCCAAACCTCCTCTCACCAAGGGCAGGTCCCAGCCTCAGGCCATACCACTCACCTATGACAGTGTTAGGTCATCTGCAAGTTGTAAGTCTCCAAGAGATTCTGCCAGGTACTCAGGGATCCCTGGTGCCAAACAGTGATCATTTGAAAAGTGGTCCACCATGTTCCCAAGCCTTCGGCTGCTTCAGGACCTCCAGCATGTCAACAGTCCTCCAAGAAAGGGAGAGCCAGGAAGGACAGGTGCTGGGAGCCACTGGGAACAAACACCATTGAGAGGGCAGAGCTAGAGTGGTCACATGACTTCTGGGCTAGGGGCTGAGGAAGGATGCTGAGAGGATGCTTCAGAGGAAAGCTGCACCCAGGGTTGGCTCCCAGACATGGTCCTACAGTCCTGTGAGGGCTGGCAATAGCTGCCTCCACGTAGCTGCCCTCTCAACTCTTTGTTCAGGCTTTGGCTCGGAGAGGAAAATGAGCTAGGCGGTGAGGGCCAGCCTACTCCTGGAGTGGACGTGTGTCTGGGTGTCACTTCCTGAGAACTCCTCCTCCACTGTCCAAAGAGTAGCCTCACGTGGCTCCTGTGTCACCATTCCGCCGGAAGAAGGCTCGCACCACACAGTTCTCCAGACCTCCACCCCTGTGGTGGACCCCAGGGGTAGCCAGCTTTTCCTTGTTCTTTTCAGAGGAGCATTTTGTGGTGGCCCTGTTTGACTATGCGGCGGTGAGTGACAGGGACCTGCAGGTGCTGAAGGGAGAGAAACTCCAGGTGTTGAAGAGGTAAACTTGTAGAATGCTGTTCCTGTCAGGAAAGGGCCCCTCCCCCACTGTCTGCCTCCCTCGTTCACCCACCACACCCCTGGGACACTCCTTGAGGGCCTTCTCTATTGCTATGCCCCTGTCCCATCACCCAGCATCTTCTTAAGCTTGAACCACTGTCCTTGCCCCCAGCCCCCCACCAAATCTTTCTGGCCAGGTCATTTCTGCATCAGCCTTCTCCTCTGTTGTTAACTCGAACAAGAAGCCTCTCTGGACCCCACATACTAACTCCATTTTTGACTTATTTCCTGTGTTCTTTCTCAGGACACCCTCCAGTGTCTGCTTGTCTTCTCCCCCTCCCCCTTTCTCCACCCTTTAAGCCTACACCACGGAACCCCAAGGTCTGATTTTGTTCCTAAAGTCTTGCAGTGGGTTTGAGCTGGACCTGACCTTTGACCCTACAATGGGTTTTCAGTTCCTCCTTTGTCAGTGGCCCTCCTGGATTTGTTTTCTTAACCAGTCCCAACTCATTCCATAAGTTTTGGACATGTCCCATCCATTAAGACGGGAGCTGCTCAGTAGAGGACATGGTCCTTGGGCCAGTCGGGCTATCTGGACAAATCTTCTCTTCTTACTCTGTGCCATGACCCCTTCTGTCTGTCACATGCTCTGCACAGTGGATGGGTCACTCACATAGCACCTCCTGACCACCAGGCTGTCTGTCCGTCTCTGCCATCCTGTCTCCTACCAGAATGGGATCTGTTGTAGGGTGCTGAGAGCTGCCCAGACATCTGGGTGAGCCTCTGTCATTTTTCTGTCTCCCCCTCTTTCTACTAGCACTGGAGACTGGTGGTTGGCCAGGTCACTCACCACTGGAAGAGAAGGCTATGTGCCCAGCAACTTTGTGGCCCCATTGGACACCCTGGAAGTAGAAAAGTAGGTGCTCAAACCCTGCTGTCAGGGCAGCTCTAGCCACTCTGAGTATGGCGGGGCCAGGAAGTGAGTTAATAGTGACTGTTGATGTAGGGTTGGGAATCGGAGGCTCTGGATCCCTTCTAACACTCTGATGGATGGCAAGGGAGTCTGTTTGAAATAAAGGCCACCTGCTTCCTGGCTTCTCTGGGTGAGACTAACCCCAGTGTCTGGTCCCCTCCAGAATCCATAGGTAGCTCCTATGTCCTACAACTGCTCCCACCACCTCCAGGGACAGTGGCCAGAGGGCTTCTTCAGCCTTCTCTTTGACAGCTTTCCTACACTAGGAAGGTCCACCTGGGCCACTCACCTACTCCCTCACATGGTGCAGAGACACGGGCATGCACCACCGCATGGTGGTGACACTGCCTCCTTTTCTTCACACACACTGTGAGCCCTAGGTCTTTCTCCAAAACTATGTTCTATTAGTTATGTCTATTGTCACTATCTAAAAAAAAATACAAGTTAAGGAAGAATTCGTTTTGGCTCATGATTTGAGAGAGTACAGTCCATCGTGATAGGAAAGACATAGTAGAGTTCTTGGTGATAGGAATGTACAAGTGGGGTCCTCTTACATCTCAGGAAGAAGCTGGATCTCGAGCAGGGCTTAAAGCTGAGCTGGCTTGTTGCTTCAAGTGTTGCCACCATGGCCTCCAATTAGACCTTATATCGCAAAGGCTCCACAACCTCCCAAAATGGCCCCACTAGCTGGGGACCACATAATCAAACATGAACTTGTAGGAAGTATTCTACATCTGACCACAACAAGTATCAAAAGTCCTTTACTGAAGATGGGGAACTTGGAAGGAATCCAGAAAGCCTCTGGTAATAGTGCTGTTATTCACTCAAACGGCAAGAAAATGACAACCTCATGACAACATCTGGTGCAGGGGGAGGGTAGTGGATCGGGTGTGATTTTTTGCAGCCTGACACTAATAGAGATCACCTAACCCACGTTCTCATTTCATTCAGGGAAAATATGAGCCTAGAAGCCGATGGGAGATGGGATGGAATGGGGTTGCAGGAACTTTGGGGCATCTAACCGAACGAGATGTGAGGAACATCTCAGGATTGACTCGGGGCCGGGGAGGGGGTGTCACCAACTTTGAGGCTCACCCACTCTTGCTGTTTTCCAGATGGCTCTTCAGGACCATCAGCCGGAAGGATGCTGAGAGGCAGCTGCTGGCTCCGATGAACAAGGCTGGTGCCTTCCTCATCAGAGAGAGTGAGAGCAATAAAGGTGAGTCTAGTGGCTTCAGCATCCGACTTGCTGTGTGTGATCCTGGGAAGCCCACCCTGTGGCCTCAGTCTGGAGTGGGCAGGAATCCTGATGGCTTCTGTCCTGTGTCCCTGCCTGGGAGGTGCCTTTGAGGCTGCCCATACCTGCTGTTTTCTGGCCCCAAGACTGACACCTCTGGGACCTGGATGGCAGGGATAGGGGAAAGCCCTGTGCCATGGTAGTCCTAAACTAGTCAAGTACCATATAGCGTTCTGTCCCCAGCCACATTTTGGAATCAAAGAGTCAAGGGGGGAGGGGGAGGAGCAGGGGAAAGGGGAGGAACTGTGGTTGGTACGTAAAATAAATAAATAAATAATAATATTTTTTAAAAAATAAAGAGTCAAGAAGCTCAACGAATCTTTACCAGGTGTCTCAGGCAGAGGCTGGCAGGTCTTAGGAAGTTGAGAAGTGGCCTGTGTCCAGGTGTAGATGGAGCAATGACTGATGGATTAGGGGTGCGGTGGCGCACGCCTTTAATCCCAGCACCCAGGAAGCAGACGCAGGTGGATCTCTGTGCGTTGGAGGCCAACCTGGTCTACAAAATGAATTCCAGGACAGCAAGAACTGTTATGCAGAGAAGCCCAGTCTTGAAAAACAAACAAACAGCAACAAAAAACAAACCCAGCGCCAACACACAATTCGGGGATTCAAATCTGTCTTACTGACTCAGCTGCTGACACCAGCAGCAGCTGGTTTCTCCTTCCCACCCTCCTGTCTGCCACTTTCTAAATAACATTCTCCCCCACCCCTCTCCTTGTTTATTTATTATATTCTTAGACAGAGTCTTGCTATGTAGAACGGGCTCCCCTTAACCTCTGCTCGGAGCTTAGATGACAGGCATATGCCACCACATCCAATTGGCACTTCTTTCAAAAGTCTTTTGTTTTGTTTTGAAGACAAGGCCTCATGTGTTTTTGTTGTTCTGGGAATCAAACTCAGGACCTTAAGCACTAGTCCAGCCCTCTACTGAACTGCACCCCAGCTCCTTAATGCCGCTCTTATTATAAAATAGGAAGCACATAGAATGCATGCAAAAACTATGAGTGATTATAAATTATGCACAGCACCATGTAACCAAAGCCAGAAGACAAAACATTCTAGATGTAGAAAAGCCCCTCACTCCTTCCCTGGCCTCCTCCCTGCAAGGTGACTGTCCTGCCTGGAGTCCTTTCTTCTTTTCCTTGATTAACCTTAGCCTTCTACAGTGCCTTCCCACTGCTGCTATTTTCATTCAACACTGTGGGATTCCCCATGCTCCTCATAATTCCGAAGCAGAATCCTACCCTGCATTGCAAAGCCACACCCTTCCTTTGCAAGCCAAGCAAGAAGTCCCATGTGACCCTTGAGATGTCCCTCAGCTTCTCAAGCCACTGGTTATTGGTTTCTACGTGAGGACCCACTAATGTCTTGCTGAAAGGTAGATGGACTATTCAGTGTTAAGGAATCTGTAAGGGAAGGATTCAGTGGGGGAAGTAGGAGATGAGAGAAGGTGATGGTGAGCGAAAAGGACCATGACTCATTATACAATGTCAAAAGTGTCAAAAGAGTAAAAATAATACTTCTTAAAAGAAATAGTGGAGTTATAGAGATGGCTCAGTGGTTATGAGCACTGGCTGCTCTTCCGGAGGAGCCAGGTTCAATTCCCAGCATCCTCGTGGCAGTTTACAAATGTCTATAACTCCAATCCCAGAGAATTTTACACCTTCTTCTGGCCTCTGAGCCCTGTACACACCTGGTACACAAACATACAAACAAGCAAAACACACATATACATACAATAAAAATAAATGTTTAAGCACCCATACTAAGCCAGGTGTAATGGTGCATAGCTTTAATCCCAACACTCAGAGGCAGACAGATCTCTGAGTTTGAAGCTAGCTGTTCTATAGAGTGATTTTCAGGACAGCCAGGGCAACACAGAGAAACCCTGCTTTGGGAAAAACAAAAACAAAAACAAAAACAAACCCATACTTCCCCATAGGCCCCAGGCAGCCCAGACATTTCCCAAAGACAAGAGGTCCCATGGACATGGAGCTGACAGTATTGGGGTGTTCTGTAAGAATACCCAGTTGCCATAAGCTAGGCAGGACCTTGGAGGCCTTCAAGCCTCAGGAGCTGCATCTAGTGAAGGAAAAGAAAGGAATGCTTTGGCGTAGAGCCAGGTGCCTGCACATGTGCAGCATCCCAGTTAGAAAAAGCTCTTGACCTCACTGCGCCGCCGGGGTGAAGATGATGAACTCAATAGTACCTGTTCTGGAGCCTTAGAGACCGAGTCATGGTTGCAACGAGCAGGGTGGAGGGGGTAAGCCTACAGTATCCGATGGAGGGCTAAGGTGTGAGGGCTAGGGCTGTAGCAACCTCAAGGAGTGTTGGACAGGAGTGCAACCTCTTAGCATTCTGTCACAAGTAGGTTGTGAGGGACAAAATGGCCAAGAAAGACCCAAGCAGGGGAAAGGCTTGAGACTGAAAAGCACCGGAAACCATCAGTCCCATAGAATATCAAGATCCTCATGCAATGAGGTGTCCAGGTCTGACCCCTTGTGGCAGAGAGTGGGACTGCTCTTCACAGACGTGTAAACAGGGAGGGTGGGGTCCCCGCACCCCCAAGCCTGCTGCTGTCTGAGTGGCCTCCATTCATTACCAATAAATACCTCACCAATAAAGGGTTTTAAAATGGGAGATTCTGTGGCAGCCACAGGGCTGAACAAGGGCATTTTATAAAGGCTCGAGGACAGAAGTTTCTTAGCTGAAGATCCTTCCTTTCTCTGAACCGTGACCACCTGCTTCCTTATCTATATGAAAATGTCAACACAGACTATAAAACACAGTACGAATTTGGAAAGACCTCTGGGGAATAGCTTGCTATGCTTCTGGGAAGGGTATGGAATTGGAGGCCCTGACTGGCCATTTCTCTGGGGAAGTCACCAGTCCTCAAGTCAAAGACAGTAAAGCTCCAAATCCCCTGGCAACCCTCCATTTCTCAGTATCTCGGGCACTCCAATTGAGGGCCCATGTACAGCTGAGAAGTGGTCCTGTCTGCCTCAGAGTTCCTCATTCCCTGGCAGTTAGGGAACTTGAAGGAAAGTCTGGGTCAGACAGCCAATCGGGAAAGGGAATTCGTGCTGAAAGGCTGAGAACAGAGTACCGAATTGGGGGTAGCTTTTTCAGATCACAGGATCCTCACCCCTAGTCCTGGACTTACATTCCTGGCTCACTTCTCATGTGTCTATTAACCCTCTAGGTGCCTTTTCCCTGTCTGTGAAGGATGTCACCACCCAGGGGGAGATGGTCAAACACTATAAGATCCGCTCACTGGACGGCGGTGGCTATTACATCTCCCCTCGGATCACCTTCCCCACCCTCCAGGCCCTGGTGCAGCACTACTCCAGTAAGAGGTGTTGGGGCAGGAGGGTCCCAGAGGAACTCTTGAGTTCTCTATTGTATGATCCCAAACTACATGCATCAACTTGGGTGGGGGTCCACCAATCCAGACTAAAGGAATCGCCAAGTTTCAGCCTAATGCTTGACATGGGGTTACTTGAAAAGTAGCAAGGACCTGAAATCTCAGAGAATGCAGGTTCCAGACACCATATCCTGCCAGCCACAATGAGAAGGAGGAGACAAGGGACCCAGTTGGGGACAGTGTGGTGCCTAAGGGAAGTCTGCTCTGATGGCCTCTAGCTTCTCTTTTCTTCCCTGATACAGAGAAAGGGGATGGCTTGTGCCAGAAGTTGACCCTGCCCTGTGTGAGCCCAGCCCCGAAGAATCCTTGGGCACAGGATGAATGGGAAATTCCTAGGCAGTCTCTCAAGCTGGTCCGAAAACTTGGGTCTGGGCAGTTTGGAGAAGTCTGGATGGGTGAGTTGTGACATCCTGGGTTCCCTCTCTCTACTGTATTCTGAGCCTGGAGTGGCCATAGAGGCAGACAGCTCTATATGGACAGCACACCCCTTCCCTGAGATGCCTTGAGGGACAGAGGCATAGCTATGTACCTTCACAGATAATAAGGCCCAGATGCCAAGGGGCTCACATCATTGCTCTGTCCTTATTAGAAGAGAATCGAATCCAGTTCTCTCTAAGGTTAAGCCAGTTCCTCTCTCGTTCTCAGCTGGATACTGGCTTTGTGGCTGATTTATGTGTACCCAACCATTTACTAGGTCCTCTTTAACTCCAATTCTCCAGACAGAAGCCATCCATGAGGTGTTGGGAGCCAAGAGCCAGGAGGCAGGAGCTCCAGGGTCTGTGCAGAAGTCACACCTGCTGGTGTGTGAGTGTGGGAGCTCAGGTTCCAGTGCCCACACCATTCCATCATAGCTGCTGCCCACAGCTACTAACAGCAGTCTCCCAGCATACCACAAGGCTTTGTCATATTCTTCTCTGGTCCATGTCTCTGGGGCACAACTTCAAAGCCCCGTTCTGACGCCTCCCAGAGTTTCACACCCAGAACTGAGATGTCTCAAGCTGGAGCTGCAGACCTGGCCCTCACAAGGCTCAGTACCCTGGGAAGAACAAGCCCCAGCCATTGCCTTTATACCATTTACTGGGTGTTGTCCCAGTCCTCAGACTACATGAATCCTACCCCAGCCAGAGAATCCATCATGGGGTTTGAAAAACAGGCTGGCATCTTACACGAGACATGCACTCCCATCATCTCCCTCAGGGACTGCGTGTCCGAGCTTGGACCTTGGGCCCACATGGAGTAGGGCTTGAACCTGTGGTGAAGGGCTTTCTTCAACGTCTGAATGGCTCCTTCACTCCCCTGTCCCATCAGGTTATTATAAAAACAACGTGAAGGTGGCCATCAAGACTCTGAAGGAGGGAACTATGTCTCCAGAAGCTTTCCTGGGCGAGGCCAACTTGATGAAAACCCTGCAGCATGAGAGGCTGGTCCGTCTCTACGCTGTGGTCACCAGAGAGCCCATCTACATTGTCACTGAGTACATGGCCAGAGGTGGGGCCTCCCTCTCTCTGCAGGACAGGGCTTAGAGGGCAGAAACAAGAGTGGAACATGGCAATGGATTTGTCTGCTCTGGGGGGTTTCTAGGGGGGATCTGTAAGCTTTATCTTATGAGAGGGGAGGCTGAGAAACAAGGTAGAATCATTTTCACAGAGCTGTGTTCTCAGCTGAGGGGAAGCTCAGCCGAGAGCATGGATTTTGCTTCTGGAGTGTGTTCTCCACACCCAGAGCACACCCTGCTTCTAGAACCTGGTTTTTGTTTCTGCAGCACACACATCATACTTTAACCCCCACTATGATGGCCAGAGCCTTGCAAAGTAGGAAGAGCTGTCAGCTGGGCAACCAAAGGTGGATCTAATAACCCAGTCTCACCTGTCCCCAGCTACAGGAACTTTGGCAAGCCTGTGGGCATTTCACTGTAGGGGTGACAGGAAAATGGGGCCCTGGCAGCCTCTGTATGCACCCCAACACCACAGCTTCTGCTCTATCTCCCCAGGGGACAGTTGGCCAGGGATCAAACCTGTCTCTAACTTCTACTTAAGGGATCTCCACCCACCTATGGCCCTGATATCACCTTGCTTCCTGTGGATCCTCAGTGTGACCATGCTAATTATAATAATTGTCTCCAAGGGAGCTGGCATCACAGACTATGCTGGGTGCCTGACTCCTGGCTGAGTTTTCAAGACCACCTACCAGGCAGGGGAGGAGCCACATTCTTTACCTGCCCCAGCTCCCCCTTCTGGTGTCTTCTTGATAATGCTTCCCTCAGGGAAAGTCTCCATCAAGGAAGAACACACATAGAAGCATCATGCTTGGAAAGGACCTTCGGCCCAGAGCTGGTATCCACCTCCAGCTCTGCTGACCCAAGAGACCCCAGACAGGCCCTGAAGTTGACTGAGAACTAACTTTTGGAAGTCTAGGGGTGGTTGTTTCCATGAAGTATGAGGCTCCTCAGCCATAGGCAGACCCTCCGTGGACAGCAGGTCCAGCCACTGTGCAGTTACTGTCTCTCTTTTCCTAGGATGTTTGCTGGATTTTCTGAAGACAGATGAAGGCAGCAGATTGTCCCTTCCAAGGCTGATTGACATGTCAGCCCAGGTGGGTGAGCTATGAAGCAGAGGCAGCCTGGAGGGATGATACCCCGTCTGAGATTTCTGACTATACTGAATTCCCTGGTGAGAAGCCATGTTGGTCACATGTGGGCTGGTCTGTGAAGGTCAGAAAGCCTAAAGTACTAAATGTATAAGCACCTAGAGGTGGACAGATGGGAGGCTCTGCCCACGGGTGTCTTCTACGCCAGGTGGCTGCTGGCTTTACCACCCAGCCCCACCTCTTCTTAGCCAGCAAGAAGGAGATGGGGATAAAATCCCACCTTCTTCCCTCTAGGGATATTCCCATTACATTTGCTCTTGCATGTTCTCCCTACTCCACTTGCTTCAATGACCCACTTGGCTACAAGGGAGTCTGGGAAATGTAGTTCCAATTCTGGGCAGCCATGATGGGATATTAGGAAGGTAGAGATGACAACTGGTGTTGAAAAGCCAGGAGATAGGCAAGAATTCTGCTTAGTAGGTAGGCATGTATACTTTGCTGTGACTGTGTTCTTCCATCCTGTCCCAGAACAGGGAATTCCAGACCTCAGCTGTCCTGGACTGGTCTTTGGTTCTTTCTGAGTCCTTGAATAGAACTCTTCAGCTTCCATGAGGCGAGGGCAGAATCAAAATGGGGGCTGTTGGTATCTCCCTCCCTTGGGGATTCTAGCTGAGGGGCCTAACGGGCAGGAAAACACATCTGGCGTCTCTGAGTACAGCTGTTAAAACTGGAACTCTCAGCAAGAAGGCTGTGGTCTGTGGTCAGCCTATGAGACACACTGTCAACATATACAGAGCTATGAGGGGGATCCTTCGTGCCCACACTTTAACCCGCTTGCCGCTTGCCCACTTTAACTTCCTACGCTGTCCCATGTTATCTGCAGCTGGTATCAAACTCAGGAACTGGGGTCACGGTGTCTTTTTTCCACTGGGGTAGCAGAGACCTACCGAGGCAATGGCAGGATGGTGCAGAGAGTGAGCCCTGGCCACCGGCTTTGAGGCAGGCACTTGATGGTTGGTAGCCTGCCATTCCTTTTCCTTGTCTCTCCTTGTCCATTCTCTTTAACCCCACTGTCCCCAAGGAAAACCTGGGCCCTCCCCATGTGGCTCTGCAGCCAAAAGGACAGTGCCTGCTCAGCGCCCTGTCATCCCCACCTACTCTGTGCAGACTGCCCTGGACTCTTCGTGTCTGAGATTCATTCCTATTCCATGCCTAGGACTTGCCCTTGGCAGAGGTCATGTCTGCCAAGGGTTTCCTGAACAAGAGGAGTTACTGACTCTGCTCTTGGGCTGTTTGTTACTCATCAATGGATGAATGAGCCTTATGGTGTCCTTGGGTTCAACACCAGAGAAGAGAGCTACCAGAGAGCCCTGGCTCCCCTCTCCTGTAGCATCTCTTCCACAGAGGCAGATTGGACTGCTGTCTTCTATGTTCATGGAGTCTTCTTTTCAAGCCAATCAGTCAGTGTTAGTTAACAATGTGAGCACCGCCAGTGCTGGCTAGATAGAAGCTGTTTAGTCTCTGGCTTCCCAGTCCACACAGCCTCACACTAGCCAATGCATACTGACTCAGTGGCTTCATGAGGGAGTAAATGAGTTCACGAGGGACTCCCGCATGAAGCAGGGCGTGTGGAAAAGGAAGACGAGGGACCAGGGGCTGGGGTGTGACTCAGTAGGAGAGAGGTTGTGAGTGTATGCGCCTGAGCTCCTGGGCAAGTAGGATCTGTTCAGAGGCTGACAGCCTGCAGAGATGAGAGCTGAGGTTACTTGGTCCTTCATCAGTGAGGGACTAAAGCCTTAATGGGCCGGCGCAGATGCTTGGGACAGACCTGGCTCCTCCTCCTCTATGAGAACCTCCATTCCCCTGGGTTCTACTCTCACAGGCCCCCCAAGCGCTCACCTGGGGTAGGTGCAGGTTCAGGACCTTGGCCACAATCAGCTCACTCAACATTAACCCTAACTTTGTGTCCAAGAGATGAATTGTCAAGTTCCCTAACCCTCCCACAAAGACGTGGCAGAGCCTGTTGGACATTAGTGATTCCAAGGCATGGTTGGCTCCTCTGAGAGAGGCATGGGCTAAGGGAGCAGACCTGTCCTCCTCTGCTATCCCTGTACACACTGTTCATCCTTCTTCTCCCTCTCTCACAGCCCCAGGCTGCTTCTGCTATTCCTGGCCTGCAGGACCTTGGGGACAGTGCCTGGAAAGGGAGGACAGGGGTGGGGATGTCGGCCTGCCTGTTTGATGACATCTTCTCTGCCGCCCTGGCTCTGGGCTGATCTCCTGGGGAGGGATGGGTGCTCTCTCTCCCTGCTCCCCACCCAGCCTTGTTCCTCATCACCTGGGGGATGTGAGGCTGGCGGGCTCCATTCTTTCTGCCCTTCACTGTGTGGCCTGTCCCCCTCAGATCGCAGAAGGCATGGCTTACATAGAGCGCATGAATTCCATCCACCGTGACCTGCGGGCAGCCAACATCCTGGTGTCTGAGACCTTGTGCTGCAAAATCGCTGACTTCGGCTTGGCCAGGATCATCGACAGTGAATACACTGCCCAAGAGGGTGAGCAGACTTTCCCCCCGACCCACGGGAAGGCTTTGACCTTCTCAATGCCCTGGGGCCCCTTGAATGACTCCTAGGTGCTGGATATGAGCAGGGAGACCCACCACCTTGTGTTTGCCTCGATGCTGGCGCTTTCCCAGCTAGTTTAGCACTTCTTTCTCTGGCTGGAAGGGGGCGGGCAGAGAAGCACCTCAGACAGAGGAGCACCTTGGGACTCTTCACTCACAATGACCTTGGGATGCAGAACTATCCCTCCCAGCCTGGAGACCCCAGTGACCCTCAGAGGTGCATCTGCATGTCAGGTTTTCCTTTCCAGGAAAGCACTGACAGAAGCATAGACCAGTTAAAATGGCTCACCCATGCCATGGTCCCCACCACTAAACAAGGCCATGTGAGATAGGAAAGGACCCTTCCCTCCCAGATGGAAATGCACAGGACTGGAGTCATAGTACAAAGCCCTTGGTATTGTGTCCAGCATAGCATAAACAGGGCATGGCGGCGCTCTCAGAAGGAGGATCAGGAGTTCGAGGTTATCCTTGGCTACTATCAAGTTTCAACCCAGCCTGAACTGCACAAGACCCTATCTCCAAAACCCAAACAAAAAACTAGATGGAAGCATGTGTTGGTAACCCAAAGGGTTAACACTGTTTTTACGGATTGCTAGGATAGTGGCAAGCAACTATGTTTTACTATGTCCTTGTGTATTCATATCCTGCAAGACTCCCAGGGGGAAAAATAGGAAGGGGCTGGGTGTGATCAAATTTTTCTTCGGGATGCCAGCTCACAAATGATGACACAGAGATGTATTAACTATGAAAGCTCAGCCCTAGCTTAGGCTTGTCCCACTATCTCTTATAACTTAAACTGACCTGCTTTAATTAATGCACATTTTACCATGTAGCTTTTTACCTTCCTTTCATTCTATATGTCCAACTCTTGTTGGAGTCTCCTCTTCACCTTGATCATTTCCCCCTACTCCCTCTCTCTTCCTGGGAGTCCCGCCTATACCTTCTGCCTAACTATTGGCCATTTAGCTCTTTACTGCACCAATCACAACAACACATTTTCACACAGTGTACAAATATCCCACAACAGCTGGGGCTGCTGTGAGGTGAGGGTGGAGAGTTGGCAGTCTCTGGAACTAATGCTTTCCTGGCAGGAGCCAAGTTCCCCATCAAGTGGACTGCCCCAGAGGCCATCCACTTCGGGGTGTTCACCATCAAGGCTGATGTCTGGTCCTTTGGAGTCCTGCTGATGGAGATTATCACATATGGCCGTGTTCCCTACCCAGGTAGGTTTTGTACCTGGACTTCTCACCATCCTCCTGGAACATTCTGATGGCGAAGCCACAGGCTTAGTACCTGTAGGTACCATGTACTGGTCAGGGCAGGGTCATGTCACAGGGACCAAGGCCCAGACTTGCATTTTGGTGTGGGTTTCTGTCTCCTTTCTGGCATTGCTCAGGGCCATGGGGCTTCATCCTTGTCTCCCACAGAGCTCATATGGATCCCCAAGAGCAAGCATGGTGAATGCTAGGGGACAGGTTGTAGGCTGAGGACAAGATTCTCAGCTTCACCTCACTCCTCAGGGTGGGATCTCCAAAGTCCTGTCCTGAAGTGAGAACCTGCCTGGACTCAGGCCCATATCAGGAGAGTCCAGGCAGCAACTGTGGGTGGGTGTTTTCCACAGCATCCCCCTCCAGTGAACACTTACCTAGGTCACATCCAGGAGAAACTGCCGATGATCCCTGGAAATCCCACAGCTCCTTCCCAGCTCTTCCCCAAACAGTGTAAAGCAAAAGACAGCCTTAAATATGTCACCATGTCTCTCCAGCCACCAAGGCTGAAGAGATGGCTCCAGTGTGTGTGTGTGTGTGTGTGTGTGTGTGTGTGTGTGTGTGAAGCTCTTGATAGGCAAGCAGAGAGGACCTGATCCTGGCTTCCCAGAACCCAAGGGTAACACTGGATACTGCAGAGCAGGTCTGCAATCCTGGCACCCCTACAGTGAGATGCCGGGGAGATAGGAGAGGTCCCAGAAGCTCAAAGGCCACTTCGCCTGCAGTGTGCGGTGGCAACTAACATGAAGAGACCCTGTGTCAAACAAGAATGAAAGCGATGATAGACATTGGAAGCTATCCTCTGCCCTCTGCCCATTGTTCTGTTCTCACTCACTCACTCACACACACACACACACACACACACACACACACACACACAGAGAGAGAGAGAGAGAGAGAGAGAGAGAGAGAGAGAGAGAGAGAGAGAGAGATTAGGGGAAAAATAATTAGATGGCCCCAAGAATGAATGTAATGGCCCAAGCTTGTGATCCTAGCACTTGGGAGGCTGAGACAGATAGCTATTGAGTTCAAGGTTAACCTGGGCCATATGAGAAAACCCTGTCTAAAAAACAAAACATTTATGTGACCTTCCAGAGTTAGACTGGCCATAGTGTGTCAGAGCCTGCTTCCTCCCATATACTGGTCTACTGCCCCTCCCCCGGGCCAATGACTGCACCCCTGGAGTACCATCTGTCCTGAAGCACCCTGTCCACCCTTCTGCAGGAATGAGCAACCCTGAGGTCATCCGCAGCCTAGAGCATGGCTATCGCATGCCATGCCCGGAGACATGTCCACCGGAGTTGTACCATGACATCATCACTGAGTGCTGGCGAGGCCGTCCCGAGGAGAGACCCACCTTTGAGTTTTTGCAGTCCGTGCTGGAGGACTTCTACACAGCCACAGAGGGCCAGTATGAGCTGCAGCCTTAGCCACCCATGGCTCTGCAGGGCTCCCTGCCTGAGCCTCCTGCTGGATGCTTACTTCTGGTTAATGTGTTAATACCTGGCTCTTCTTCCAGACCAGACAGGCTGCAAAGTTAGGATGAGATGGCATGCCTACTTTTCAGATGAGGGAACCAGGAGACAAAGGTCACGGTAGGGAATGGACTTTCAAGACAGAGCCTTAATCCACTCTTCGCTGGCTGTGTGCCTTTGGGAAAGATACCTTGCCACTCTGTATCTACTATTCCTTGCATGTAAAACAAAACAAACAAACAAAAAAAGGATTGCATTAGATTGTGCTCAAGCCTGGGAGGGTGCTGAGAACTGAGTCTGAACTGTTAGTGATGGACAATGTATAAGGCTGTCACAACACAGAGGGTGGCTGGTGGCAGGCCATCAGATCTACTATTTTGACCTTCAGAGCCTCAACAGCAAGCACCTCCCTATCTGCTGCTCCAGACCCACAGCACCAATCCTCCAGGTCGCCCTGGCCTGGCTGTGCCCCTGCACTTTGGGACTTTTCTATAATAAACCCATGGGAGTTTTACCTTCTTCCAGGTCTTTACTGGTGATGCAATCAGATGTGACACACAAGGTATATATAGGATGTGGGAGCACTCTGAATGCCACCCTCTAACTCCCAACAAAGGACACTGGACACAGCCAGCTATGCCTCTCCTTGCCAGCAGATGGCGATCTCACCATACAAACCCTGTGTCTGGAACTCCTGGGCTCCATGGGCTCTATGGGCTCCTGGGCTCCTGGGCTCCATAGAACTCCTGGGCTCCATGGAAGAACAGCAATAGAAAACCATGAGATAGGGTTGGGAATCCCCCCAAATGTGACAGCTCTCTTACCTATCTTTCTGTGTCCCACACATCCTGTTTTGTTTATATAGAATGGGGATGGAAGAGAATTTAAGTTTATAGAAAAATAAGCAGAAAGTCTATTCTCCATAAACCATAAACCCTCGGCCCTTTTAGTTACTAACATCTTGCAATAGTGAGCACACTTATTGATACTGACACACTTTACACCAGGGTTCACATGCTGCACTCTGTGTTCTGCAGAAGCTCAAGGGCCCCAATCCATCAAGCCCAAACTATACAGAATAGTCTTCCTAACCTAGGAATGTCCCGGAATCTCTGCCCTAAGCCTCCCTGCATGCCCAGGTTACAGGCACCCACAATGATGTTTGGCATTTTACATGGTCACTGGGGATTCAAACTCAAGTATGCAGAGCCAGCATTCTCAATAAGCCTGTTCTACAGCCTGTGAGTACATATTTAAATATTTCCAGCGGGCATTAATAACTGCCCAGGATCCAGATCTGGGCAGCTGAGTGGAGCGGACTGCTGGGACATATTATTTCCCAGGAATTCAGGCTCCATGTGAATGCCCTGTGGTTCTTCCCGGTTCTGGTGGAAAGGTGGCATCAAAGGCTGGCTCACTCTGGCAAAGCAGAGGCTTTGGTCCTTCATCCAGGAAGAGTTTTCTCCACAAGGAGGCACCCTTTCCCCACATTGAATGAAGCTTCCCAGGACAAAGAGCCTTCCACACTCCAACCATAAGGTGACACAGGAGAGTGCGGGAAGGGTATGTAAAGAGACAGGGTGAAGCAGAGAAGGTAAGAATAGGGGGAAACATCAGCTCCGGGGAGGACTCATCGTGCTAATGGCAGGGGAGGTGGCTGTACAGTGCTCTGTTCTCCCACCATGGTGGTGGCCATGTAAGACACTGGCAAGGGACCTGTGCCTGAGACTTCTGGTCATATGATGGTTGCCCCCATGCCCAGAGCTCTGGTGAAGGATACACACTGAGCCTAGGAGCCCAAGGACCATTATTACCTGAGACAGGCATCTGTTTTCTGAGAGCCAGGGCACATCAGCCTACAAAATGACCTGGGTCGCTGGGATGAGGTGAACCCTGAGTTCAAGTCCAAGCACTTCCTGTCACAGGATTATGTGGTGCAGTGCATCACACCTCTGAGTCTCGGTTTCCCCATCTGTGAAATGGGCATACATACACACACACACACACACACACACACACACACACACACACACCATGTGTGCTGTGAGATTTCGAGGACAGTTCACCTGTGCATGGCGCTAATTTCAGAGCCTGTGTTAGAGGAAGTTTCAGGAATGCCTGCTCTATTAGGGTTATAGCCACAGAGCAGCCTGGGGGCTCTGATCTGCAGGCCCTGGGTGACTACATGCTGTCACTTTCTAAGGTCCCTGTTTTGGGCATGCAACTCCCTTTGGGGCTTCACACTTTGCTACTTGACTTTGCCGGGTTCCTTTCACATAAATCCAGGGTCTGGGAGCGTGGACAGCACTTTCCAGGGGTGTGACTCTGAGGAAATGACTCTGTTCCTTCCTCCTCCGAGCGCCTTGTGTGTCAATGGTAGGGACATAACTCTGTTGAAAAGCTGTTTGAAGCACTGGAGAACACTCTAAGGTTCAGTGGGGCTCACTGGGACTCCTGAAGCTCAGTGGCTGCACCCAGACATTCATTTCTCACTGTCCTGCCAACTGCAAATCCAAGGTCAGAACGTGTCGGAATCCCACTCCTTCATGGGGCTCAGTACTGTGCCACTTAGACATGACGCTTCATCTTGGCTCCCTTGTCTGTTGGTACATATTTTGTGATAACCCAGCTATGAAATGTGTGCCTCCTGGACCCATGGCTGGAGTAAATGGCCATTTGAGGCTTGATTCTGAGGAACCAATAAGCTGTTACAGAGGTCGCACCATTTCTCTTCATCCCCTGTGTCTGAGGTTCATGGCACTTGTTTTATGTCCGTCTGCTTTGTTTTATTTTCAGAGTACTTGTACCGAGGGCGTGGCCATACATCACTTGTAATAATCCAAGTTGTCTTGCTTTTGGTACCTGGACGCCAGATGTTGGAGGGTGTATCACATGCTCCCGGTAGTCTTCCGATGCCCGGGGCCTCTGAACTTTGCTGTCCCACTGGACACTAGGCATGGCAGTGGTGTGGGCCTGGCTGGGAGGCCCAACTGTGCAGGTCCTAACTAGACCTCTTCAGACCCTGCCTGCTTGATAGGCTGGTCCCACGTTGTCCTGGGGTCCACTAATGAACCTCCTCCTAGGGACTTTCACAGATGTCCTCAGGTGGACCTGCTGCACACATGCTCACATCCCCTCTCAGAATCGTCACTATCAGTCAAGACATGTGTCTCAGTCTAGGGCTTTGTCTCGGAGTGATAAAGAGAGAGACACAGTGCAGAAAGCAGAGCAGGAAACCAGAGGGACACCCGGACCTCCCACAGACATAGTTCATGGGCAGATCCCACAACCTGGCTAGTCTGGGGCATCACTAAGAAAGGTTGGCTCCCCACACGGTTCAGAATCTTCATACCATGAAAATGGGGGCTCTATAGACAGTCAGTATTGACTACTAACTGCCAGTTTATACAACCCCGGGAGGTCCTCATGCTACAGGTGAGCACAGAGAGGCACAGAGAGGCTGTTGACTCACCATGCAGCTAGAAAGAGGCAACCATCTTTGCAGAGAGAGGGTGATGGGTTAGGAAGCTGGATCAAGAGGGGGTGAAGTGAGCTTCCTCCAATTTTATATGGTCCTTGCTGGCTTGTGTGTCTTCTACTGTTGCCTTTTAAAAGATACCAGAACACAGTCCAAAACACTATCTGGGAACCTCTCATCTATTCCAGATTGAGCTTGAGCCTCTCACAGTTGGGAAACTGAGGCCGAATGAGGGGTTTTCCTGAGGCCCTGGGGTGGCATTGTGAGATCTGCTTGGCCAGTTACTTCAGCCATTTGGTAACAGAGGTGGCTTGCTCTGGGTTCTTCAGAGAGTGGAAATATGTGATGAAATAGAACTCCCCAACCAGACTGGCTGCTCCCTGAGAAGTCCTGCTCCGTAGTGAGCACACTAGGTACTTCCTTTCCAGCACAGGATAGAGCAATTACTCCTGCAAATGAGCTGCATTTGGGACAACACTGCTCTGCTCAGTCTATAGGGCCTTCCCGTGCTGTGTCTGGACTTAGATATCATCACTTATCTAGACAACATATAAAAAGAGATACCTAGACTACGGCTTCCAGCACCCCTGAGGGCCTAGCACTATAGGACTCAGCCATAGACACCAAGGATAACATTTGTGTGACAAATGGGGATCAGGGGATATTCCCCAGGAATAATGAGGTCCCAGGAAATATTGTTACAGAGGTTAAGCAAACTCCAGGTCAGCAAGGGAACTGAGGGGTCATGGAAAATGACAGGAAGCAAGGAAGAAAGATGCAGGCCTCTGGCTGGCGGACTCTGCTGCTGGATGGAGTCCCAGTTGTCCTGTCCTAAAAAGTCCCTCTTCATGAGGTCACCATCCCATGATTCACAGAGTCACAACTCTGCCCAGCATCACTAGAGAGTGTCCAGGACAGTGTTGAGTTAAACTTATGGGTGCACAAGGCATATATCAAGTTGTCATAGAAGGCGGCGACTTTCTGAGGTCATACTTAACCCTAAAGAAAAACTCCCTCCCAAGGAGAGCCTCTGTCTTCACCCCTCCATGAAGCAAGGACACTGTGCTCCCAAATGAGGATACTAGGACAACATCCCCAGACTAACGGCAGAGTGTCTAGGCTTCCCACATCCTCTTCTCAAGCCACTTCTCAGCTCAGGGCTGTAGGCTGCATTTCTCCCCTCAAGGCTCTGAAGGTGAAGTTCCTGCCAGTCTCCCTTGCTGGGACCCCGACAGGTGGGCGAGCCTCTCCCTGACTCGGCAGAGCCTCCTCAGCTCCCAGTGTCCTGGGAGAAGTGGGACCAGATAGAGCCTGGGCAGTGACCACCTCAGAATTCTCCTGAACTCAGCCCTCATCCTACTGTGGTTCCCTCCCCTGCTGTGTGTGGACAAGCCAAGGAAGAACCAGCTAGGGAGGAGCCACCCCTTGCCTCTCCCTCAGCGGGGCTCAGGAACCCTGGACATGTATTTCTCTTCTCCATCTTGTGGGGAATTTGTGTGATGTTGGGAAAACTCCAGGCCCAGGGTTCTGCATACAGCTGCACACCATCAATATATGCAACATTCCCTTCCCTTGGACACATTGAAAGGGAAAACCAGGTCATACACCATCTTCCCTGGAGTCACTTGGGGACCTTGCCTGCTAGATTCTAGCTCCCCCCAAACTCCCAACCTGTTCTCCCTTATGTCCACCTTGCACCTTGGCCCCTGGACCACCAGGTCTGCGTGTGTGGGCAGCATAGGCTGATGGAGGCTGACAGGAGCCAGTCTCGGGCTTGAAGGACTATTCCTGAGGACTGATGAGGTGGAGGGAATGCTTCTCAGCAGCTGACAGGGATGGGGGAGGTAGGAGAGTGAGGGGAGTACACTATCTCAGGCTGCTGCCTTCTAGAAGGGCCAGGGTACCATCTAGGGCCATCTCTGTTGAAGCCCTTGCCAGGACCAAGGTCAGTCTGCTCTCGTGGTTAAAATTAGCCTCCTGGTCATTGCCCTGGACTGTGAATGGCCTTTTCCCATGAACCTCTAGGGCCTGGGCT